TTTGGCCCTTGGTTCTCTTGCGCATTTGCTCGTCAAGGAAGATGTTGCGCATGGTGGCTTGCATCTGTTGTACGTCGAATGATGGGTCGCGGAAAACCATCATCTTGATGTCCTTGTAGTCCTCGGAGAAACCTTGCACACAGATGTCCTTGAAGCGGCGATCGGAGATGGTTTCCCCCATTTTCTCTAGTTGAGAGCGGAGGCGGTGTTTCTTGTTGAAAAAATCGTCCGGGTTCTCTCCTGGCTCCATGACCGTCCTTTCCAGGTCGTCCAGTTTAGCCCTGATCACTTCATCTGTCACTCGATTGTAGTTGGCCTTCAGTTCCGCGAATGCTGCCTGCCCGTCGCCGCTAAGGCCGGTGTCGTCTTCGTGCTTGTGTACGGTTAGTGCAGCCGGCAGTTCGACGAGGCAGAATAGGATTGCGTAGAGGTCTTCGTTTGCTCTCTCGTATGCGGCGAAGGTGGTGTCCGAGGGATCAGGCCTGCGCATTCCCTTGAGAAGTGGCATGATGTCCCTCCGAGTAACACCGACGACTACACCCAATTTCTTCATCCAGTCGTTGAAGTCCTCTGGTTTCGTTCCATCGAACTTGGGGAGTCCTCTGATGACGTTGGCCAGGTTTGTGGATCCATCACTCCAGATGCTGCCTCCGCCTCCAGTTCCCGATTTTGCTTCCATTTCTGGTTTTATCCTGATGATCTCGTCTTGTATTTTTGTTGGTGTATTACTCAGCTATCTGTCGCTGAGATTTTTCCAGCCCCGCTCCTTCTATTGATATAGAGGACTCCGGTTGCCGATTCGTGACCCCGCTTCTGAAACCCTTTTCTCACCTAGATAGAGAATCGGTGAATAGAACTCCGGTTGTAGGCCAATTTGCGACCCCGCTCCTGATACCCTTTCCTCACTTAGGGAATCGGTGAATAGGACTACGGTTCCCGGTCGACTTTCGCTGTTGATACAGTCTTCCCTCCTGTCTCCGCCGCAGAAGTATTTGCTCAATGTCTAAATCGAGGCTTCCCGCGCAACACTTTGCTGTTTGTTCACCACAGAGGTACCCACTACTGCTGTTGCAGCAGTGATAACGTGTGTGTATAATGAACTCTCAGCCCCTTGGTGTAGATGACCAAGTAGTGCGCTCACTTTCGTTTCCGCTGACCGTTGATGATCTCCCAAATCTCCGAATCCAGATTTCCGCTCGAAGTCCACAGACGGATGTTGTAGTCCACAGCAGTAGGATGTCTTGACCTCCGTCGTGACGTCCGCAGGTCCTAGTGTTCGCGTAAAGCGAGGCTCATAACCTCACAGAATGTGGCGTCCTGCAGCAGCGGAGGTGGCGGTGCTGCTGTAGCTCGTAGACTTTGTAGTCTACCACAGAGGTTACACTGCTGTCACCGCTCTATCACAGAGGTTGGTCTACACTGCTGTGAGATCGGTAGGCCCGAGCGAGCTCTGGAAAGAGAAATGTAGATAGATTTTCTTATCAACTGACTCCCTGGTCAGGCTTTGATGGGTGCTAGATGAGAGTGAGCACAAGGGGCGAAGGCGCGCTTGTGTCTCATCTCAACAACAAAACAAAAACAAAAAACAAGCAGCAAAAACACAGCAGGTTCCGAGGGTCTCCGGAGTAATGGCCCGAGTACCGGAATTTCGGGGTTCGGAACAATAAAACAACTACAGTCTCGCCTGCCAAATTATCTCCGCTACAACTCTGTGCTCATGTTCTCTGCTGAGTACCATCTCTTCTTTCTGTATTATGTCTACGGAAGGCTAGTTGCCGCAGTCGCACCTATGGTAAACTGTGCCTGACTACGTTGTAACAGTTTTCCTCGACACCACCGTCGCACTCTTAGTAAATTATTCGAATCCGGACTGCAATAAGTCGCTCGAACGTTGCCCTGTTACTGAGCTCATGGCTGGCCTCGGTCATTGTCGAACGTTCGGTAGGTTAGTCGGACCCGGAGTGCAATAACGAACCTTACCGTATCTTCAACCCCTGTGACTGGCTTCGGCCAGCGCTACAAAACTCAGTAGGTTAGTCGGTCCGGAGTACAAGAATAGTTGCTTGTACGGTGCCCTGGCTGCTGATCGAGGCGGGCGTCGGCCATGGTATGGTAGTTGTTCCTCCGTCCGCCTCGGCAAGAGCGCAATGGACGTACCGAACATAACATATAAATGCGATAGAAATAGGAAAACGAGGTGGCTCCGCAGCGATGCCACCCATGCATGTCGGCGAATGCAATGCAGTCCACGAGCACATATGATGTGGGCTGTCGAACGCGCACCTTACATACCCTTTTCTGCATCACTACCCACATGCCTCCTCCCTGCACATAACAACATATTCGCCTGATTGAGAGCGAAGTATCTGATTGAGAGCGAGAGCCAAAAAAATTGAAATTTCGGGTCCAGACGCCTCTTGCCATTTCTTGGCAAGTAGGGGACGGGCTATTCCAAGAAGCGGTGCAAATTGAAGGTCTCATCAGCAGCTTCGCGAGCATATGCGTGTCATCGTCATCGGATGCTGCAGCGAGGAGCTAGACAAGTTGCTAGATTTGCCCAGATTGGCTATTTCTGCTCAAACTGTTTCAGGGCGGTATCGCGTCGGGCGGTGGGCTCTGCTGTAGCTTCTGCTCCCCGCTGTAGCTCCACAACGAGAGACTCCCACAGGATGACCAGGGTAGCGGCTTGAAGCTACGGGCTAGCCCTTCAATTCAAGCTACACAGCAAGCTCCACCTCTCAGTGGTAGTCCGGCTACAGCGTATCGCGCAATCTCGCTCTCAATCAGATGCTACGCTCTCAATCAGGCGAATATGTTGTTACATGTACCAGGCAATCTCGTCCAATTTGTACCATTTTTCTGTTTCTCTTGTGCTGGGGGAGCGTGGAGGGTATCGCAACATCGACTGCATGAGTTGCTCCCCCATGCACATGTACAGGACAATCTCGTCCAGTGTGTATTTTTATTTTTCTCTAATGCGGTCGGGGAGGAGGGGAGACCACAACATCGATCGCATCAGTTTGTCTGAACTTTGTGTACTCTTGCGCGAACATATGTTTCCATATATATCGCGGGGGCTTTGAAGAGGCTGCGTGTACGGTATCTCTTGCCTGTTCCCGAAGTGTTCCTCACTACCCTCATTCAAGACGGTTGCGTCCGTATCGATGACAGCAGTAAACATACGTCACATATGCGCTGCTCGTCTTCCGTGCGGAAGCTCTGCAGAATGCGGAGGAAGTTCCTGGAATCTTTTGGAAGAATAACTGATACTGCATTTTGGATTGTCGCATGAAACTAAGGGGCACGTGCTACAGAGCTCGAGACGCGAACGGTGCCCTGTTACCGCGCTCATGGCTGGAATATGCCATTGTCAAACGCCCGGGAGGTTACGCGGACCCGGAGTGTACTAACGACCCTTACCCTAACCCTAATCGTTGTGACTGGCGTCGGCCAGCGCTACAAAACTCAGCAGGTTAGTCGATGTGGAGTACAAGAATAGTCGCTTGTACGGTGCCCTGGCTGCTGATCGAGGCCGGCTTCGGCATGGTGTGGTAGTTGTTCCTCTGTCCGCCTCAGCAAATGCGCAATGGACGCACCGAACATAACATAGGATGCGATAGATGTAGGAAAACGAGGTGGCTCCGCAGCGATACACACATTTTGTTTTTTTTCAGTCTTCACTTCAAATCAGCGTTCACAGCACTGTCCCTCGGTGTACACAGGAACCGGCGCTATCCGATAGGCCAGGAGCGGAAGCGAGAGAAAAACTCACTTTTTAAGGAAAGCTCGCTTCCGCCGGGATTCGAACCCCTGACCTAACCTCTCGAAGGTTTAAACCAACTACACCACCGGGGCAACTCATGCATGTCGGCGAATGCAATGCACTCTACAGTACAGACCCTTTCTACATCGCTACCCATGTGCCCCCCCCCTGCATCTGTACCAGGCAATCTCGTCCATTGTGCTCTTATACTGTCGGGGGAGGCGCGGGGACCACAACATCGACCGCATGAGTTGGTCTGAAACTTTGTATACTCGTGCGCGAACATGTGTTTTTGGACTCTTTTCACAAATACCCGTGTCCTTCTCCATATATCCCCGCGGGGGGGGCTTTCAAGAGGTTGCGTGCACGCGATCTCTGGTCTGTTCCCAAAGTGTTCCTCACTACACTCATTCCAAACGGTTGCGTCCGTATGTGAGGTCGCCATGTTCGTTGACGAGGCCACCGAGGTACCGGAACTCGGTCGTCTCGGCGTACCGCTGTCCCGCGGCTTCGATGGTCAGCGGTGGAGGCGGGGGGGGTTGTGACGTTGCAGTCGGCTTGCCCTTGGCGCGGATCAGGAGCGTCTCCGTCTTCTTCTCCGACACCGTTAACCCGAACTCCCCGAACACCTCAACGATGATGGTCATCATTCTCGCCAGTCCTTCTTCTGCAGACCTCGATACGACGCCGGCATCATCGGCATACAGCATCCCCCATACTGCCCTCCGTACTCGGTCAAGGGGNCAACATCATCCTCGCTGAGTCGGATGACAGCGACCTCGAGGACCTCGGCGAAGAAGATGTTGAACAGCGGTGGGGATAGCACTCATCCTAGTCGCACGCCCTGTGTCACGAAGAACCAGTCCGATAGTTTTCCGTCGTCCTTGCGCTTCCGGGCCCGCATTCCATCGTGGAATTGGCGGATGACTTCGATCAACTTCGCGGAAATCCCGGCGCTGGTCAGCACCTTCCATAGCATCTCTCGGTCCATCGAATCATACGCCTTGTTCAAGTCGACGAAGCACATGTAGAGCGGTATTTCTTTCTCCGCCCCAGCTCCTGGAGGTGGCGCACGACGAACAGCATGTCGACAGTGGATCGCCCGGGTCGAAATCCGCACTATGTTGCTGGCCTCGCAGAAGGCGCGTAGACGGTTGGTGATGACCTTGGTGGGGACTTTGCCTACGTGAGATAGGAGCCAGATCCCTCTGAAGTTGTTCCAGTTGGACCGGTCACCCTTCTTGTACAGCACCTTGTTGGTTGCATCCTTCCACTCTCGCGGAATATCTCCCCCTCGACACCTTAACGAGGATGGTATGGAGGTGTCCCAGGACGAAGGGTTCGTCGTCATCGATTTGGAGCAACTCGGCAGGGAGGGAGTCATGGTCGGGTGCCTTCCAGGTCTTGAGACCTTTCGTTGCCCGTGCCACCTCCTCGAGTGCTGGCACATCTCCCAACCGTTGAGTGTCACGTGTCGCTGGCCGCTGCGTCACTCGTTCGATGATGTCTGGGTTCAGGGTGGGGGATTTGGTGTTGAGTAGGGTGCTGAAGAATCTCGCCCACCGCTGGAGGATGTCGTCCCTGTTCCGGAGCAACACGCCGTTCTCATCCGCGACGAACTGCTGTCCCTCCGCTTGTCTCCCGCTGAGGCCCACTGATCTCTTGAGGTGTTGGTACAGTCCTCGCATGTCGCGATCTTTGTAGATTTCTTCGCGCTCAGTCACATATCCGTCCAGGTTGGCATAAATGCCCGTTTCGACTGCTGTAGCCACTCTCTTACACGCTGCTTTGAGAACCCTCCACGTTGGTGAGTTCCAGTTGCCCCTCATCGTCCGGCGCGCTTCCCGCCGTTTAATAAGGGCCTGCTCCAGCGCTGCTCGCGTCTCTGGGGTCTCACACCACTCCTGCGTGCGGCGTCTCCGCGGTTCCTCCCCCAGGGTCGTCCCCGCTGCTTCGAGGAGAGCATTGATATAGTCGGTCCCCAATTCCGCGGCGGCGGTTGTTCGCTCGCCAGTCGTGTGTCGAGGTTAAGGAGGAACCGATTGGTTACCGCACACCGTGCTGCTTCGAACTGCCGTCGGTTTCGGTTTAGTCCGGACTGCGCGGTTGTGGGCAAAGCCTGCCACCGAGGTTGACGGTGGCTACTACCATATTGCGGTCTGAGTCTGTTTTGACTGGATGAACCGGCTGGGGGATCACAACCACGTTAGATACTCGGCCACGATGTGCCTGCCTCGTCAGGATGTAGTCAAGGCCCTTGCAATCGTTTCCCGGCACACCGTTGAATGTGTGCCATATTCCACCCTTGCGTGTCTCAAAGAACGTGTTCGTGAGAGCTAGCCTGTTTTCCGTTGCGAAATTCAACAGTAGCATGCCATTGTCGTTGTTCTCATCACGCCCGTACATTCCTATTTCCCTTCCATCCCCTCCGTCCAACCTTTCTCCCGTCCGCGCGTTGGCGTCCAGTAGGACATACACACATTCTTTGGAAGGTATCCTCCGCACGAGACTGTCAAGTTATCCCCAGAACACGCGTTTGCTGTCGGCGGTTGAAGGTTTGCTTGGAGCATACGCGGCTACGAAGTTGACCGCTCCACGGTGGCCTGCCGACAGAAACCTCATGGCCATAAGGCGTTCGTCGATAAACTCCTTAGTGAACGTGGATGTCTTGCACAGTGACTCCTTGACGGCTATCCCCACACCATGGACTCCACCAGTCTCCGTGCCACAGCANTATCCTCCGCACGAGACTGTCAAGTTATCCCCAGAACACGCGTTTGCTGTCGGCGGTTGAAGGTTTGCTTGGAGCATACGCGGCTACGAAGTTGACCGCTCCACGGTGGCCTGCCGACAGAAACCTCATGGCCATAAGGCGTTCGTCGATAAACTCCTTAGTGAACGTGGATGTCTTGCACAGTGACTCCTTGACGGCTATCCCCACACCATGGACTCCACCAGTCTCCGTGCCACAGCAGAACACGCAAAAATCCGCCGCTGCAAATTCCGTTCGACCTGCCCTACCTCCGATACGTCTTGTCGCGCTGCCTCGTGAAGAACACTGTAGGCTCACCCGTATTAATTGGCCCCGTTTACAGCCAAAGTCCGCACGTTCCAGGTTGCTACCCTAAGAAGTTGACCCTGCTGTCTCTTTCGCGCGGCGTGCGCTGCTCTCCTAGCTAGCCTATGCGCCGCCCGACCCCCCCTTTTCCGCCATCTTCCCCTATTTTTTTTTTTTTTCTTTTTTCTTGTGAACACTCGGGCTAACGTGATAGTCACCCCGGTTCTTGCTATTTTTCCCATAGTTGTCCTTTTGTCCCGGAGCTGGGTGGCCCTCCATCTCTGGACTCTCTTTTTTCCTCTCTCTGGGGCATACCCCCAAGGCGTGCGGTCACTCCGCCACCCTCACCGTGCTCTCTGCTGCTGCATAGCCCCGGTGTTCAAGCCGGGGCGTAAGGATCCAGTCTCAATTGCAGCTACCACAGCTGGCGCCTCACGAGCCACCCCGATCTCATGACAGCAGTGCCTCCCAACCGCCAAACTCAGGATCCCCCTCTCAACAGTGCTAGAAACCGTATATCCGTCTTGTCGGGTGGTCTTTCGAGGTCTAGATCCACGTGCGGAACCTCGGCCTACCCCAGGCACGGTGGGGTGCAGGCCGAGGAGAGTTGTGGAGGAATCGGAATAAAAGAGGTTTGGTCTGCAACAAAGCTGAATTGAGGTCGGAAAGACCGAAGGTTATCGCTTCATAATGTATAGCCTTAAAGAGCACGGCCATCAAATTGTTCTTATACTTCACCCCTCCCTAAACCCTCACCGCCATACGTCTCGTTTTGGCCGTCCATCCCATTGGTCGGGGGGCGGGGGGCCAATCGTTAAACCTGGTATAGTCAATATGGTAGCGCGATTTATTTTTTGGGTACAGCAGGATGGACCCGATACCGACCAAGAACGTTTTCCAACCGCGACGATCCTGACTGGATGGGATATGTCTTACGACGACGAAGCATATTTTAATGCAATGCGAACAACCGTGCGCGTGTCGTGCACCTGCCACATGATTCTGCCGACCATCCCGACGACCGTGTTTTTTTGCTCCCCAGGGCGAGCGAGCAACCCGTCTGGAACCCGAGAATCAATCTGGTCGTCGAGGAGCGATGCCGCCGTACATGAAGACGATCTGGCTCATCGTCCGGTTGGCCTCCGTCCTTTCCCTGCTCGTTGTTGGAAGTGATACGGTGCGGTATTGCAGTACACGCCTCCCTACAGTAGGAGACGATACTAAACGATCCGTGCATACCATGCTCAGAGAAGTGGAAGACGATAAATAACTGACATGGTCGAACCAAGAATGAAGTGACGAATCCCAAGCACAACCCATGAGAGCGCCTACAAAGACGCCGAAAAATGTGCTCAACACCCTAAAATGTGAACACCGTATAGTCCACAGTACGTGCAGATTCGCGAGCGTCTGGCCACACTGCTTGTTCGCGTAGTGAGGTCGTCAGAGGGCCGCCGTGAATGCGTTGCTTTGTAGCTCCTATCAGTCTGCATGCTGATGCAGCAGCCGGCAACGCACCAGTGTGAGGACTGTACAAGTAGAGCGATCACGAGGTAACGGGAAATTAATGCGGTAATCCACATACCTAATGTAGGATTCGCAGGCTTGTCAGGTAAACGGTTGGTGGCACGGGCGTAACCGGCATTCGTATCCTTGTTGTGATGCGGCCGTCGATTCCCTGTTGGAGTTCTACGCGAGGAGCGAACCCGGCCAGCCGCCTGAATATTGCACGGTCTTCCACCACATGGTGAAGAGCGGGGGCTCGACGATCAAGCACAATCTTCACATATCTTCACGGGCCGCAGGTGGTCCGAGGCCAGGTGCGACTACTGTATTGCATGTTCTGAAATCGTTGAAACATATTTACGGAATTGTGTCAATCCTGAACATGGTCTTCAGGTTCCAACGTGCGAAGGAAAGGGGAACCCTGTGTTCGGTGTTTTCTACCAGCCTTCAACAACGACCAGTTTCCCCCATCAAGATATCAGTGCCGAAGGACGCAAATATACCCTGCAAACAAAGGGTCGAATACAGAAGTATACCAGGATTATCACCCATTGCGAGCTATGGGTGGATGAGCTATGGGTGTATGCAACGTGTGAACTATTGTGTTCCAACGAAGGGCTCTCGGTGTAGGTGGACGAAGTACTCCGTGTGTCAATGATGGATACATAAGGGCGGGGGTGAACGCTAACAGCAGTACGCCTTCAACTGCATCAACAGTACAGCGGCGGTGGTACCCTGGGGTACCGTGCGGTTGCCTTAAGTGGCTGAGGTTAGGTAAGAGAAACCACAAATGCCCAAGCCGTTTTTACCAGAAGGTTACAGGCTTGGGAACGTCCTCACAATACTGCGTCAACCCCAAAGCAGCAGACTAGGGTCGTCCTTGTACTACGAGCACTTTCAACATGTCCTCTCAAGTACAAAATCGTTCTGATTCTGATGTATAAGACCCGATTCTCTCTCAATGTCCCCTCGGAACAAGAATGCTTTCCGCATCTATGTTCAATACGTGCCTTTGTTTCACCACAGCTAGCTGCGATGTTTCAGCAGTAACAGGGTTTCCCCCTACACAAATCTCACGGTCTACACATCTGCACAAAGGCGAAGTACTATTACTCCTAGCATCAAAATTCAGTTCTTGATAAACTTCACCGCACTCAAACGTTGTCTGAGGTTTCACTGTTGGAAGTGGTACAAAAATGTCTGTATTCTACATCATTGGGTTCGACGCGGTTTCATGAGGTGTCCAAGTCTATCTCCGTCAGGTGAAGACTAGCTTGCGTTTGTAGACTACGTGGATAATATTTCACTGTGTTCCTCTGCCAAAACCTCAGCCACATACGCCAACCACAGCGCACCACAGTCACTCTACTGCTGTTGGTACAGTTGAAGGCGAACTACCGTCAGGTTACGACCACCCTGTCGTAGAAAACTACATTTCGATTCACGGCATCCTTCGACGCCACCAATCATTTCCAGCGAGGGCATGCGCCGTTTGTCGAAGATGGGGCGCATTCCCGTGGTAGGCAGTCTCTCTTTCGCTTCATGATGCACGAAGCTGGCTTAAGGAAGGTCGTATTTGGAGCGGAGACTGCACCAGCTGCACTTGCTGACACTGCTTCCGCGAACGAGGTCGCTGCACACCAGAAGCCGGTCGAGGAATTTGTCGACAAGGGCGGACACGAATGGCTACGCTAGCATGGCCCCCCAGGAAGTCAAATCGTATCCTCCGATAGGGCCCGAGGAATTCGGCGACGGGCGCAGTGCTCTCGTGGCACTGGAAGCCAACGCACGCAGCAGCTCCATGGCAAGTTCGGGGCACTCCACGTGTCCGCCGCCGACTATCCCGGGCAGCGTGATTCAAGGGCCAGGTCGCATCTGCATCGAACTGGACGCTCTTGGAGACACACAGTTCGGGGCAGGAACACGTACGTACGCCTTTCTCAACTCCCCTTCCCGAACGATAGCGGGTCTTTCAAGACTGTACTATTGTGCTAGAAGCCGAGTGGTTGTCGTGTCGCCTTGAACTATGATGACGTGGCCAGTCGGGCAACTGCGTACCATTTGATGCAACTCCGCGGAAATATGTCTTCCCGCAACCACGGTCGTGCGCTCAACACAGTCGTGCATGATAGGGGGCGTGGGTTTCGCCGGCAAGGCAGACGTGGACAAGCAGGATGTCGTCGCGGTAGTATCGGCGGGGACTCAAACGGTAGCAATGCCTGGTCGAATAGCAACAACGGTAACAGTGGTTTCACCTCGAACGGGAAATCGAACAGTGGTGGGAAAATGTCGGAGCCAATGCCCAAGGAGCACGCGGGAGAGGTCCAAGCCGGCTGTTCATATTGTTCGGCTCCCCGGCGATTCGGTTGTCAGTGTTCCTCTACCGGAGGCTTTGTACTCTACCGTTCGGGAGTTGTTTGTACTAGCGACCGCGAAGAGTTGGCCCTAGCGCCATACCATTACGCGTGTGCATTCTGTATTTTTTTTTTTTCTAGGAAACTGCCGCCTGTTGTGTGTCCTGGCCTACTGAAGTACGAGGATAGAATCAGGAGACGCTTGGTAATTTACGATTCACCACTATAATATCGCGTTTTTCTTGGTCACTATCGGTGCCGAGAACTGCCTTCTATTGATTGAATGGGGGCTGCCATATTCCTTTTCCTTCTCTTCTTCTGGTTGGCTCGTCTCCCGTTCATATACTGAAGACCTTCACGGTCAGTTTAAGTAGATGATATGCTTAAGAATAATTGAGAGGTGTATCCTTTTCGGGGTAGATGACCACGGAAGGCGTTCCCGTGAGTTTCGACAGTACGCTTTTCAAACGATGTTGTACCGAGGGCGAAACGTCATTCCTGTGAAGGAAACGGTGTGCCCGTCCACCCGAGTAGATTGCGGTGTTCCGTCAGTGTGTTGTGCCGTATATGCGCCGCCTTTCTGGGGTCTACTTGTTTATCGAGGTAGATCGCAGCATCCATTGTATGTATTCCGTCCTTAATGGTTGACATTCTATGCGTTTGGGGCTAATAGCCCACTTTATCAGCCATTGACATGTTTCCTCCAAGTATTTGAGACACTTTCTTCCTTCTGGGCCATATTTCTCTCGTCGATTCCTCTTTGTCGCTCGTCTCGTCAATTTCTGTATCGGACCTGGACTGCATCGGCGACCTAGTTTTATGCGTGTTTCATGCTCTTTCTTCCCTTTGTCTCGGTTTTGACGTTTCTTCCACCGGCAATAGTCCGTTCCCAGTTCGGATGCGGACTGTTTAAAGGCGGGGGCAGACATGCCCCACGGAGGGAGTAGTTTAGCCGGTGTAGACGGTTTCGCGTTTAGGTGGAGTTTGACGTTGACGGAGGCCGTGAAACCTATCCAGGAATACACTTTGAGTGCCGTTTCAGCTTGGTCTGTCTGGGACTACAAGATGTCGTTGTTGCTGGTTGACCCGATGACCACGAGATCACGGCGGTGCGTTCGCGCGTCCTACACCTCGAGGGACGTGTCCAAAGAGTTTTAATCGAAGCCACACAGATTCGAAACGGAAGCTCTCCTCTTGTTTCTGCCTTCACCAATATCCCTTAATGTATTTTTAGTGTGTCTGTCTCATTGCTCCTCTTCCCCGCAGTTGAGCTCAACAACACCGAAACAAAGCCACGGCGACCAGGTTCGCGGCCCTGCCTGCGTAAACCTAGCCCTCGGGCACGGCGTGCGTTTTAAGTTGCGTCGCACGAAGCGCAGCGAAAAAGCACAAGTACCCCCCCGGACCATAGGCACCGAGGCGCCTCTTGGGCCACCCCATGCATTTTTTCGTGGGGCCTTTTCTGCAACCGAGCAAAATATAGCTCCATGCTAGCCGCAAGTCGATGCGCTAGGACAAAACAGGCGTTCTGCGCAAGTCCCGGCAAGGACGGTGGTGAGGAGAGCGAACAAGGCAACCATAACCGTTTCGGCTGGTTTTGGCGTCCAACTGCGGCACCCGGCGTGACCATCGATATTGTCTGTCGCATCGATAACTCCACATTCTGGTCACAAAAGTCCACGAAACTCGGAAAGAACAAGTCTAGCACTGTCCACACAACTGTGTGCCGCACGCCGCACGCCGCACGCCACAGCATTCGTCATCCCTGCACTGAATTCGGCTGGCACAAAACAATCATCGCCCCTCGACGAAACATGCATCTACCTGCAGCTGGAACTACACCTCACGCGCTACTCATGCCTTCGGTACACCTCGCAGATCGGATCTCCTTTTGTCCAATGAAGAAGCAGTCTCATGCCGATCGCGTTACCCTCCCACAAGAAAAAAAGCTGTGGTTCAGCCGTGGTCCCTGTATTAGTTTGAAAACAACAATATCTGTGTATCTACCCGTTCGTCACACCGTCACACCAAATTCCAATCCGTTCAAATAATCATAGGAAAGTGGACGTCCGATTAGAGGGTGTCAAGGCAACTTCACTGTCACTTTCATCGCTGCACAGCTATCGTTTCAGCTGTAGCTACAAAGTGGGTAAACACACGAGTGATCATATTATCCACACAGAAGTTTCACCTCAAAATCCATTGTTTTGCCTTTCTCAGCTGCGTTGTTTCAGCAGCGAATGTTTCCCTCCAACACAAATCATTCGCATTTTCTTTCAACAAATTCACACACATACCATCCAACCCCCAAGACATTCAGTCTGACTACGAAGAGGGGAGGTGAATATACTCGACTATGTTTCCCTTCGACAGAATCTTGACCTCTTGACGCCTTCTTGTTCTTGCGCTGCGGTTGCCACCACAGCTTCATCGTGATCCTTTTGTCTCCTTCGCCTTGGTAACGTGTTTGATTCGGTTAAAATTTCGCTCAAGAAGGATGTTCGGGCAAGTTGGTTGCTGTTAACTTTTGCATTATTCAGCTGGCTCCGTGCGGCGGTAGGCTGCTCCTTCTCAACCCCCAGCATAATATCGACTTCGAAATTCCCGTGATAGTCTTGCTGCCTTCAAGTGATACCCGTGGTGCTTGCTAAAGCCTCCTCGTTGCAACGTCCGGGCTCCCATGGCCAGTACAGACACGCTGTCATGCTAATCGAGGCTGCCGCTGAATAGAACAATGTTTACGCTCCCGTGAAGATCTTGGTCTTTAGGGTCATGATCGACCTAGGGTGTTCTTCTCCGTACGGTATCTCGTCATCGGTGGGGAAACCCTTTGTATTGAAATGCCAGCGTGCCCAATCTCTGCTACTTCTTCTTCTGCAGGGATTCCTGGCGACTGCTTGCTGTCGTACGAGAATCCCTCCGGGGACATGGGGCACACTGCTTTCGATCCCCTTTCCTTC